GAGAAGGTGAGTCATATATATATATATTTAGTAGAATGAGTTTACATATAATTTATACAGTAGCAACAATTCATAATAAAATCTACAAGGTAAAAACGTGCAGCTGCTGCTTAGTATTCCATAACACTGATGGCAGCTGTCTGGGCTTCAGAGGGCAGTGTGAATTACAGAAATCACACTGGTGTGCTATTTCATGGATAAGTCTGCATCTCTTTTAGATGATAAGTCTAAAATCGCATCTGTCTGGTGCAGAAAAATACTCAAATGCAAAACATGACTTCAGTAGATAGCAATTCTTTTTTAAAATAAAATATTCAAACAAGTGAATGCTTTTTTCCCTACAATTTTTATGGCTACAAAGCAAATGGAATATATTATTTTGGAGACAAGTCAGCAAACACTTAATAAAGAAGCACAGCTAATGCACTTGCCTCAGAGTATATTATCTCATGTCTGTGTTACTTATCTGTCCAGCCGGTCCTTCAGAAAAAGTACTATTCGGTTGAGCAAGGTTTTGTGAACTGTGCTGAATTTTGTTTTGTCATCTCCAATAAAACTGGACTTAGATAATTTTTAATTTAAATATGGACTCCTTGAAAAATCATTCTTGACATCAGTGAAATTAAGAGAATTAGAAAAATACCAAAATAATAAAAGGAGAAGTGATATCTAGAAGACAAAAAAAGATATCACATATTGAATTTGAAAACACCTTAGGTTAGTTAGAAATAGAGCATGGAGAAAGGGGACTGTCTGGAAGGTGACGTGAATTTTTCTTTAAGAATAAGAGCGTAGCTATTGTCTGAGTTGTGGGAACTTTACCAGGAACTCATGCAGGGCAAGGACTGTGTCCCGTTCCGCACTGCATCCCCATCTCATCCCAAGGCCATTAGTAACGGGTGGTCAGTGTGTGTTTGTGTAGTGACTTAAAAACAGTTGTTATTATATTCTAATTGAGGGTCTTCCAGAGTGGTTTTCTATTTTTCTCTTTGAGGGTTAACTTATAAACAACCCAGTTGAACAGGAAAAGAAAAGAAATTAAATGACTATTTTACATAGAGCACATGGATATGCCAATCTACAACCCCTTAGAGAGATACCCATTACTTACTCCTTCCCTTTTTCCTACTTAAAAAAAAATACTTGGAAAAAATAATTTTAAAAACATCTTTGTGTGTGTGTTTATCAAAACAAGATAAAGTAGAGGACTCCAATACTGAGGCCTAGATTTTTACTAGTTTAAAGCAGAAAGTCATTTCTGTTCTACACGGGTTTCATAGACTGTGTAAAATGTCTTCCTTCACCTAAAAAGGACTCATATAAATCACTGCTAGAGCTATATATATATATAATATACATTTACATAAAATAGACATGAAATGCAAGTTAAATGAGATTGTTTTGACTAAGATTTCCATTACTTCAATATAAATTGTTATGAATTTTCAAAAAAAAGAAACACCTTCCAGTAAGATACTGAATCAAATCTTATTCTTTGCCCCACCCCTCCACTGCCTCCTTAGTTAATAGTGTTGGTGAGGTGCTTTCACACACTCAGTTATTTGAAAACATTGCAAGTAGAGTTTAGCATATTTCTGTAATGGTAGAGGTTTATTTGTTTCTGGCCCATTGAAAATGGAAATTGAGTGATTAAATTCAAGCTTCCAAGATACTGAAGAAAATAAATGATCTATTAGGGTTGTTTTTAAATGAATGTAACCAAACAAATTAAGCCTCATACAAAGTTATGATTTTGATGTCTGATGCTAATTCTTGTGAACACCTGGTTTAGGAGAATAAATGAGTCAGATCAATTGCTATATATTATATGTATACTTGCTCATTAGCAACAAATAACACTATTAAATACCCCCAATAAAAATGTAGAAAAGAGACATATTGTCTTCCTTGAGGGCATTAGAGGTTTTTAACTAAATTAGGAAAATACAATTGGAAAGTCTAATTGATTTGATCTAAATCTTTAAGAGAAGTGGTCTCGTATAGCTCTCCCAACAAGTACATGATATTTTATCAGTTTTGACCAATTTCAGTTTCTTGGATAGGATCCAAATGGCTTTATCTAAAATCCACTTCTAATTTAATAATAGCTATAATTGAAAGGTTGTTAATCATGTGCCAAGTGTAAAGATTAATTTCACTTCACATTTTGCACTTACTTAAACTGTGTAAGTTAAACTTTTCATTAGTAGAGATAGTCCACAAGAGGATTATTATTTTCCACTATAACTTATATCAAAACCCTAGAACCTGACACTGAGCTCACATTCTGATCCACTGAACTAACCTCATACTGGGGTTAAGATTTGTGAGTCACTGCTATAGAGAAGATGAAGCATTGTTAGACAAAAATGACTAAGTGCAAAACATAGATTTTTTAAAAATCAGAGTACTGAGTAAGTAGACTTGCTCAAAAAGTAGAATAAGAACATGACTATTTAGCATTAAAATTTTTCATTTACATGTTCAGCACCAAATTTCAATCCTGTACAATATGATTTTCTATATTCTATACACTATAATTCCAAAATAAAAATAAAAATTTATGAAAGCACTGTATAAAGGTGGTTACTTCAAATCTATGATATACTTTTGATTTCAAGTATGTTATCCTAGAGCATATTTTGTAGATAAATTTCCCTTAGAATAGACCAAAGTATTCATAAAATAAATTGCTTAAATGAATATTGTAAAAGATCCAATGTAAAGAGGAACATTGGAATACCTACAATTTCAAGAAAACTGTACTAATCCACGAAGAGACTTTTATCCCCTCATACCCTGAAGAAGGATTAAAAGGAGGACAAATCCATTTGGGAAAATATATGATATCTAAAAACATATTGAACAACATTGTTTTGTTTGTTTTTATTTTCCCATGAATTAACTGTTTATATTGACTGACAACAAAAGGAAGTTTATGTATAAACTTTAAGATGAAAAGAAATGGGAAATTAAATAGCTTTGTCAAAAAACTTTGACAAGCAGCTCATGAATTGCTTCTCTGTACACTTGAATTCTAGAATCATATAAAATCAATGGCTATTACTTTTACATATATTATATTACTCAATACTAATTCATTCACTCATGCTTGAAGTTAACTCTTAGAGGCAAGGCTTTCTGCTAAGTGCTGAGAAACCATAGGTCTGGTCTGAGAGCTGTTCAGATTTATGGAGGAGATGGGTAGAGAGATAGGTAAATTTAAATCAAAGAACAATGATAACAAAATATGGAAATTATGGTATAAACATGCATTAATTTTGTGAGTGGTAGAAGCATGTAGGAAGAGGAGCAAAAATAGGGAAGAAGATGAATTAAGTTCAGGGCACAAGTAGTTGGATGTAACTATGGGATCTCCACGCAAAATATTGTGCTGCCTGTTAGCTTGTGTACCTTCAGATGCATTCTAGGTCTTTCTCCTGCCCTCTCCTCAGTGTAGCTGCTCCCTAGGCTGTTTCCTTGTCAGTTGACTTCCAGCGGGATTTGATCAGGTACTGGAGAGACTGGGGACTGGGAGGAAGGGAGACACTAGGATATTTCTCCCTATCTTGTCTGTCTCAAAATATATCTCTGGTGTTTGCTGTGTTGCTTCCCTGTTCCCCACTCCCAGATAGACAGATCTGTCCTGGTTGCAGTGATCCCGGCCTTCAGACTACAGAGACAGCAGCTTCTTTCTGCTACCTTACTATATACCCTGCTTCATTTTTAGTCTCTTCTATGAGTGATAATAATTGCCACATGTAAATTTACTTTAAATACTCAGAGTGGTTTCCATAGATTTTGGATGGTAGATTTGGGACTAATCAACAATAATTGATAAGTTCATGCAGAGAGGCTGGGTAAATGGACTGGTGGATTGTGGATGGAACCCTGAGGAATATGGCAATAGAGAGAGGAAACACACACAGTCTTTGAATAAATCCAAAAATTTTTTTTAGTATAACCAGAAAAAAATAGGATATCTACTTAGTTCCACGAGGCACCTTAGCCATCCCTTGGACCCAGCAGTTATCAGGTGAGGTTTCTGAAGACACAGAGATCAGGCCACCAGTTCGGTACCAGGACCAGATTTGAAACCCAAATTTGGGTTTCTTATTTCCCTGTCTAGGGTCCTTGTGATCCTGTGCCTTTAATCATTGCTTTTAAATAGCATGCAATTTGGCATAATTTTCCTGGGTTCACTTGCTCTTATCTTGTATGATGTTTATACTTCCATTTCTTTTTATGTAAAATAAGTACATGGTATTGTTTCTGTACATAGGTAGTTTTAAGAAATGCATGACATAATACATCAGAAGTACTTAGAATATTGTAAAATAATAAGTATAGTTAAAATTATTGAGGGGTTGGTGCAATTTATTCAGCATAACAGTACTACTGGATATTATCATATTATTATAAAAGATAAGCCAGTGGTTGTGTGCCTTGCAGATATTGGTTATGTGTTTACTAAAGTTAAGGGTGGTTTTTTTTTTTTGCATTTGTAAGAACCTTACCATTTGTTTAGTGGAGCCAAATTTAGTTTCAAATTAGGTTTTCACTTTAGAAGTTAGTTTAGTAATTATGTTTTGTAAAATAATTTTTAAACCATTAGTTTCATCTTAGCTCTGTAATATAGAGCTCAGAATTTCTATTGACTCAAATGACCTTTCATTATTTATTTTTATTAGCATGATATTTTAAACAACAAAGTTTTAAAATTTGAAGGAGATTTTTTTCCTGTGAGTCTTCATCCTGTCATCATTCTCTTTCTTCTTTCTCTTTTAAAGTTCTCACACCCAAACACTGGAATGTTAAATTACAGTGAGGATATTGTAAAATTATTAAATGAAGTTATAAAATCATTCTAATTTAAATGAATTATTTCATAGTGATTTTGCCATTAGTACTTAAAAATTAACCACCATAAAAAAAATCAAAACACTTCTAGGGTAGTGTATAGGTTCATCCAAAATCCAGCACCATGAACTTGAACTTACCTTCCGCGTCTGCCAGTCCCACTCCTACTCCTGGCTGTTTCACAGGCTCTTGCCCGTTCTGCCCCATCTTCCCTCTGTGTATAAAGAAAATCAAAGATTACACTATTTTTGGTTATGCTTTCCTAAATGCCAGCGAGGAGGCCAAAACTGCAAAAATAGAATGGCATTATATATTCAGATCTACAGTAAGTTACTCAAATTGCAAACATAAATGCAATAAATTGCTCTACATAATGTTAATTTTATTTTTTTACTCCTTCCTCACATACATAATGTTAATTTTAAAATGGGAACTCATTTATTATTCCTACACAGTCCAAACTAATACTTCAAAATTCAGTGTCTTATTTGTTGACTCATTTATTTAAGATCAGACTAGCACGAAATTTTCAATGCTTTAGAATTTGAGGGTGGTTATTTTCCACTTTAAACTCAAAAATGAGAAGGGTTTTTTATTCCTTTACTCTTAGTTATAATGAGTTGTACAGATCTGTTGGTGAAAAGGAAAATTCTGAGTTAATAGCATAAAATAATACCATAATAACACAAGTTTTTATTTCACTTACTGGCTTCCTTTCAAATTCTTCCTGTATTTTCAGCTGTGTGGAGCATACTGGCTTTTGAAGTCAGGCTGCTTGGTCTCTGCTTCAGCTTTGCTGTTTCATGCTACGTGACATCTAAGGCAAGTCTGCATAATTTGGTGAAGACTATTTCTTGTTTTGCCATGTTAGGACAGTACCATTAGCTACCTTCTGGTTATGAGAAAACTACGTGGAAAGTACTATAATAAAGTGCTTAACACTGTGCTTGAAACATCATAAAATTCAGTAAATATAAAGTATTAATGGTAGGCATGCATGTAATTGCCTTAGAATTCAGCCAGAGCCTGCTACTTACTTTTAGTTTCAGACTCAGACTTGTTGGAAAGCCAACTGGATAATTTATAGTACTTTGAGCACTGTGGGTTTGGAATATTGATAATGTAACAGCCAAAAGACTAGGCCATTTCTCTCTCTTTAGTCAGAAGAAAGCTACGTACATAAAAAATTTTGGAATTGCCTCTATGGACATATATAAGATGTTCTAAAAACTGAAATAAAAATGCAGTTAAAAGGTACTTGAACAAAAGAACATCTTGATAGTGTGCTTTCTAGACAATAATTCTAACATAGCAGGAGTTAGTAACAATTCTTACTTTCACAAAAATATTTGGTTTGCTGAACTCACTGAAAATGTAACCATACTTATTTCTTAAGAACCTAATTATACCATATTGCCCAAAGCAATCTACATATTTAATGCAGTCCCTATCAAAATACCAATGGCATTTTTCACAGAACTAAAACAAATAAGCCTAAAATTTATACTGAACCACAAACGACCCCAAGTAGCCAAAACAATATTGACAGAAGAAGAATAAAGTGAAAGGTATTATATTACCTGATCTCAAACAATATTGATGGTTGCCAGACTAGGAGTAAGTGGAAATTGGTGGATGAGTAGAAAAGATGAAGGGAGTAAGAAGTACAAATTTCCAGTTGTAAAGATATTCACAGGGGTGTAATGCACAGCATAGGGAACATAGTTAATGATAATGTAATATCTATGTCTGGTGTCAGGTGGGTCCTGGCTTCATCAGGGTGATCACTCCATAAGGTACATAAGTGTTTAATCACTACATTGTACACCTGAAACTAATGCAATATTGTATGTTAATTATGTTTCAAAATAAATTCAAAAATAATCTAATTATATTTTAGTTGAAAACTGCTCTAAAGATCGTTCTTCTAAAAGTGGTTCTGCACACAATGAAAGAGGAATGAATGTAATTCAGAAATTATTTTATCTTGAAAGCCATTACATTGCTCCATTTTGACAATTCTAATCTAAGGTTTAGACACAAGTTTTTATTATGATTATGTGAAACACAAAATGCATGCAAAACATTAGAAATTATATACACACATATACATTTATTTTGGTATATGGTGTAAAAAAGTGGTCGGTCCAATTTCTTTTTTTGCTTGTATCTGTCAAGTTTTGGCAATACCACAATAAAGAGACTGTATTTACCCTATTGTATATCCTTGTATTCTTTGTCATAGATTAATTGACCATACAAATGAAGATTTCTGGGTTCTCTATTCTATTACATTGATCTATGTGTTTGTTTCTATGCCAGTTCCACACCGTTTTGATTATTGTAGATATGTAGTAATTTTTTTATGGGGCAAAAGTAGGTTTACAGTTATTTATGTGGACAATACAACAATTATTAATAATAATACAAGAATAAACTGTGTTTTGCATACTCACAACTGCAAACCTACTTTTGTCCTATTTTGTATTCATATGCAGGCTATGCGTATACACATATGCATTTACATACACATATACACATATGTATTTATATATATATACATATGCATTTATATATATGCATATTTATTATTAATATGCATATATGCATATTTATTATAAATATATATATTTATATATATATACATATGCATACACATACAGAATATAGCCTATATATACAGATATTCATATGTATATGCATAAATATACATATGTATACATAGATACACTCTATATGAATATATACAAAAATTACTACAAATCTACCATAATAAAACACAACAGGGTAAATGCAGTCTCTTTAAAAAGTGGGGTTGGCAAAACTGGACAGATAGATGCAAAAAATGGAATTGGAACACTTTTTTCACACTATGTACCAAAATAAACCCCCAAAAGATTAAAGGTTTAAATGAAATTATAAAACTTATAGAAGAAAATGTGGTAAACTCTTTGACATCACTCTTAGCGATACCTTTCTAGGTATAGCTCCAAGAGCGAGGGAAACAAAAGAAAAAAATAAACAAATAGGACTACATTCAACTAAAAGGTTTTTGCACAGTGAAGTAAAACATGGACAAGACAAAAGACAATCTAATGGGAGAAAATATTTGCAAATGATACTTCTGATAAGTGGTTAATACAAAAAATGCGTAGGAACTCACACAACTTAACACCAAAATAAAAAACAATCCAATTAAAAGTGGGCAAGAGGACACAGAGATTGCCAACAGACATAAAACATTCTCAACATCACTAAGCATCAGGGAAATTTAAATTAAAACCAAAATGAGATGTCACATCATCCCTGTCATAATGGCTGTCATCGATAAATACACAAATACCAAGTGCTGGCACATATGGAGAAAAGGGAACCATCATACACTGTTGGTGGGATTGTAAATTACTGCATACTCTATGGAAAATAGGACTGAGGTCCCTCAAAAAAATAAAAATAGAGCTAACATACCATGTAGTAGTTTCACTTCTGGGTATTTAGTTGAAGAAAACAAAAGCACTAAATTGAAAAATACATAAGGGGAACCTCCCCCCTTACAAAAAGAGAATTATCTTGTGGAGGGTGGGACCTTTCTAGTACAGCCTTTCCCTGCTAGGTGATTGTTCTAGAAACTCATCTGTATGAGTGTACTAGCTGGAGTTTTTGTGAGAGGCTGTGTTTGGCTTCAGTGACTTTTTTTTTTAAGACTCAATGTGTTTGCCTATTTCATGCTGTGTGATTTACAAGTGCACCTGCCCACACCACATTGAGTGCTGAGCAGTTTTTGACCAAAAATGGCACAACGCCCATACCCCACCCTTCCCTCTTCATCCCATCTCCCTCCAAGCACCTTTTTGTTTTCCCCAATGACATGCAGTCATTGCTTCTAATGAAAACTGATTTTAACATTAGGTACTTAGCTAAAATGTATATTAAGTGCATTTCCATGTTTGTATAGAAATTTTGGCAGCATTATGAAGCTAAATGAAGTAAAAAATAGTACCCATGAGTTGTGTGAAGGATGCAATTTTTCTGAACTCTCAATAACTAATCTTCAGCTCAGAAGATTCTCACTATACAGTTTATAATTTATCTTCATTACTCAGTCACCAAATAGTTACTGAGCACTTATGTTTGCCCAAGCAACAACTGTGTTAGACACAAGGGGGTATATAAAAACACTACTAAATTCTGCCTTTCCATATGTGTCTTCTGTAATGCTTTACAAAAGGGAATTTTGGGTTGTGGTCATATGACAGAACAAGAGCATCCTAGGCAGTTTTGAAAGACTTTGATTTACAAGCAAAATAGGAAAATGGGGAAGAAATAAAAACTGGAATCTGGTATGTAATAAAAATGCATAATCGACTTCTATTTCAGATATTCAATATAAAGGAAATGATACAGTTTACTCTCCAAAAGTTGTAACTGTATCAGCAGTGCTTAATTAGTACCTTGAAAGGCAAGGATAAATGGCAAAGTTGTTACAGGATGTACGATGTGAAACCTCTTGAATTCATATGATATTTGCAATTTATAGAGAGGAATTTAATGAATTTGCTAAAATTCTCTTCAAATTGGATCACCAGGGGCCGAGGATGAAGTCAGACTTCTTTTAGAAATGACTTTCAATAAAAAATAAGTGATTAAATACAAATAACTTTATTGATCCATGGCTAAGTCTTAAAAAATAAAAGACAGACATGTGATCCAACAAATGTTCAATTTATGTAGGAAAAATGTAACTTGAAAATCACAAAATAAGCATATTTTCTATGTACAGATACATTTCCCCCATCATTCTGCTTTTTGTAGATTGAGCCATTATCTAATATGAGTACTATTCTGCAGATCAAAATGAAAGTTTATGTAAAAAACTCTTGACATTAAAACAATAAGAAACAGAAATTCCACTTCCAAGAAAGTTTCACTCAACTTTGAAGAAAATGAAACAGACCTTTTAACAGGCTTCCAGCCCAGGGGTCTGCAAGGTCTTTCCGTAAGGGACAGAGAGCCAACCCTGTGAGTGGTCTCCTTTGAAGGGTTTGCCTGTTGCAATCACTCACGATTGTCCCTGTTGTGTGAAGTGGCATTAGCAACACATAAAGGAATGGGTGTACCTGGCTTCAAATAAAACTTTATGAGCCTAAAATTTCAATTATATATGATTTACATGTGTCATGAAATGCTATTCTCTACTGTTTTTTTTCTTTTTACAACATGTAAAAATTCAAAAACTATTTTTAACTCACAGATTGTACAAAACCAGATGGCAGACTGGATTCACCCTGACCTAGATTCTGGATCTACGTGGACCAGCAGTGTTTTTGAAAACCCAGAAAATTACTACTGGGGAGGAGAAGGGAAGGTCTAAATGTTTCAATTTTTATATTGGAACAGACATAACCTAAATATTTATCTTGGATGTTGCTGAATTCTGCCACCAATATGACTAAACCTATTTTAGCATATTCTAAACAAGAAACTAGTTTTAATTTGATTTACAACACAATTTCTTTTGAGGCTTCACACATTATAAACAAACTTTATTCCAAGAATATCTACTCAGGGACCTATGTACTACATGATATTTGTTCTAGAGAATACGAAAACATTCAAAACCTTTGCTTTTACTTGTAGTGAGATTTATGGTATAAAAAGATGTGTGAGGAGCCCAGTGTGTTATCTACTTCAAATATGATATGAGTTCTTTAAATATGTTTAAATCTCTCCTGATTCACAGTAAATGAATCTATGTTTATTTCAAGTAACAATAATGTTTGTTTGGTCATTATGTGATTAAAGCACAACTCAGCCTGGCTAATCAGATTTTTTAAATCAGTTTTTCTATTAAATACAAATTGTACTAATTAAGTAATGCTGATAGTGACCAGCATTCATCCTTAGAATTAACTAAATTAATCCGGTCTTTCCTGAATAGTCTATTATTTATGTAAGCATGAACAGTGGAAGTGCTTCAGGGACAATGACTCAGAATTGGATAATTATCTAGTTATTTCCTGTTCAATGTTAAGAAGAGCTTACTCATGATGCTGTTAGCTTTGTAGTGAGAAAAAAAGAACCACTTACATCCTTGGAATAGGAAATAGATTAGTCTCCCCTGCAGTGCTGCTGCTTCCTTCACTGTCCACGCTATACCCACTGCCAAAGCTGCTGCCCGAGGAGCCGGTGGACACGGAGCTTTCTGCAGGCCGGTGATTGGTAGGCTTTGCTGCATGGTGTGGGAAGAGTCAACACCACAGTCAATCAGTGATGCTCCCAGTGATCTCCAAATGCAGAATTATGCATTTTCTTCATTTACACGTACAAAGAAACAGCTCTAGCAAGAACTCCACATTTCTTAACCTGCCTTTCATTTTGTTTTCCTTAAGGGATAACCTACAGTGGCAACGCTAGCATACAGGATTGCTTTATTGGTCATAAAGGAAAAAATAATCACTTTTAGGGATAAACCATTATATTTTTAGACTGAGTTAAACAGTATATAACTATTCTACTATTGTTATCTGTGGTTTAATTGTACAGTACTGCAATAATGATATGGCAAGCAAATATGAATTTTGGCTATTTCATGGAGAAAGGAATTTAGAGAGAGTTGGGTAGATAAAAACAGCAGGATAAGGAAAGATTGCTTAATTATTTCCATGTTTATAACTAATAATCTACTTTTCTGTTGAGAAGTGAAGATGCAAAATAGAACAAATGATTTCAAGAAGTGATTGAAAATTTTGTGCTAGTTTGTATGTAGCTCTACCGTCTTCAGCAGGTTACTCAATTTGAAGATATTTGTTTCCTTTACGCATTTCTTAGTTTGTGGCCAGAACCTATTTTTAAAATTTCATGAGTTTGATTTTTTTTGGATGTAAGAATCCATGTTTCCATAGAAACATAATACTTTTGTGCTGTAATTTATGCAGTAGGAGTATAGTACTAATATTATTAGTGGAGTTCTAGGTTAGAGGAGATTTGGGGGAACTTTTGATGTAAAAAGAAGAGAAGGTAAGTGTTTCCTCTCATTTTTGTAGAGAGAAGATTCTCCAGGCAAATATTAAAATTGTTATTTATTCTCTTCCATCTGGTCAGAGTTGGAGAGCATGAGCTTTGGTCTTACTGATGTGGTTTTGAATCCCAACTCATTTTGTAGGAAACCTAAGAAGTCTCAGTTTCCTTATTTGAACATAATGGGGTCAGCAATGCCTATCTCATAAGCTTGTGCCTACGAGGAGTGAGAGAAAGCAAGAGCCTAGTGACTTACTCTTCTTCACCGTGCCATACCCCCTAGCTCTCATCAATGGCTGTTCCCTACTGTCCTTGAGTGTACCTAGTCCCTGACAGTAAATTTGCCTGGGTTCTCTTCTAATTCTGGACTGTTCTGGGCTACTAAGCTAAGGGTCTCTCTTTCATGGATACATCTCTGATCAATCAAAAGTTCTGTAAGCAGTTGGGATAGATTCATACTACTGGATGAATAGTTGCTAATTTTTTAACAATCCTTGGATATGGACATAATTCTTAAGGAACTACATACAAGCACAATGACTTTGATGTGGTGGAATTTTAATGTAATCAATATAACCAAATGACATGAAAATACAGAGATGAGGGAAACCAGGTAGGGGCAGGAAATGTAGTTCTCAGGGAAATCAGGATTGAGTCTTGCAAAAGTTTTAGCTTTTTCCTTATTTCAGGACAACATATTCTCTGAAGCTGTCAGAAAATTTTATATCTCTTCCAATGATAGTAGAATCACTTTCTCAGAATAGGGGGGAAAATAGAAATATTTGTTAGTCAATTACCTATCAGGTGTCTGTAACTGGAAATAGCTATTTAGAAAAAGGCTTGAGTCCTGTCAAATAGCCAGTGATAAATGAATTACTAGTAACCCATAGGACTAGATTTGCAGGAAAAGAATGTTTGTTTAATATTTTTTCAATTTATTCAGAAGGAACCCAAATAGTGTAATAGATGTTAAACCTTAAAAAAATAAGTTAAAGGTGGAAAGATATTGACTGATATAAAATTATTAACATTTATAAAGTAAATGATTTAATTAACCACATAATAAGTCAGATTAGTCAACTGATTATAAACACAGGAAAGCTGTCACATATTTTGATTGTCATATAATCCAACCAACAAGATTGTTTATAATTTTAGTATAATACTGAATAAGAAAACTTTAATTTCATTGACTGGAAAATCGCAATATACTATTTTCAAAGACAAACCTTAATTAATAAACAGTATTTGTAAATCAATATATTTTTACTAAATTAAAACAATTTTCACTCCAAAAACAATCTTATAATGTATCAAAATAGCTACATTATAGAAAGGATGCCTTATTTACATTTAAAAATATTAAATCTTTCTTTTTGGAACTTTGATTTCACCTGATATAATTTCTAGTTCTATTCCCCTTCTGGGAAATCTGAGATGTGTACAGAATGCAAAACAATGTAAGAAAAAAGGAGGAAGATTAGAAACACAGGGTCTGGCCAAAGTGAGGCTTGCATGAATGTGGTCAGTATGGTATGTGAATGTCTTGCACGAGATGGACAGCAATTTGAATATTTTGCCTAAAATGTCATATGGTGAGCTTGAGTGTGATATTGTTATATTACAGAATTACATGTTTATGATTTTGTAATAAAAGATTTTGCAATTAAAAATCTTATTGGGGCATTATTTGGGCTGGACCCTGTATATGTAAGGAAAGACAGTTCTTTCATCTTATCTAGGTGAATAGGAATCTCTTTTGGAAAAGCCTTGCAAATGCTTTCATTCAAATGCAAACAAATGGCATTTTATAAGAATATAAAAAGAAAGAAAACTAAATCTATGGAACATTTACAGGTATTGGAATGTCTTATCTACCTAACATCTTTGCAAACAAAATTACATGTAAGGTTGAGTCCAAAGAAATTTTGGGTAGTTACAAACTAGGTAGCTAATTTAAATAAATATGGGTGTTTGGTATTATCTTAACAAAACATCTGGTGCTTGATTGAATTTTTAATTCTTAATCTGGTATGTAAATGTAGGGTAGAATCAGATAGCCTGACATTCAGTTTTTGAAAATAAATTCAATTAAAATGCAGAATGGACCTTCACTTTTTACCAGGCCATATCTATCATAGCATAACAGCCGGTCAAACTCTTCAGTTTGCTTCTAAAAGTCCTTTATCATCTGTTCCTTTCTGAATTTATCTCCCATCCATAATTCTTCATGTGCTTTCCCTGGAAGCCCACTGAAACCATTCAGCCTGACTCCCTTTAGTCTGGTTTTCCTTTACCTGAACTTGACTGAGGCTGTCTTTCCAATTTTGTTATGCTTCCTCTGTGCCTGTCACTTTTTCATATCGAAATGACACTTATCAGTAGAGGCCCTGCTTCCTGCACTTGCCTCATCTCACCAGTCAGAAGTGACTGCTCCTGTACCTGTGTTCTCAGCACAGGTCACGTATCTTTCCTTGACAATTACTGCTTTCATCTTTGATTGTAGTCATTATATTCATGTCATTGTTCAAAGAACAGCCTGTGTTTTCTCCAGTGCATCCTTCTTAAAAGCTTATCCTGGGACTATGCTACAGCAACATTTAATAAAATAATAATAATAAATTAATAATTGTTTCCCTTAACCAAACAGCTAATGCATCTAAATGACTTAGAAATATTCGTATTATCCAGCTGTGTGTTTTATAGAAATTACCAATTTGCCATCAAGGGCAGCTTTAGTCTGTCATACTATACAGAAAAATGTGATCATTCAACTAGATGTTTTGTTTTCCCCATCCCCACAAAAGTGGTAATTTAAAGTGTTTAATGGTAATACACTAAACATGAGAGCATAGCTTTGTGAACTTAAAAAAAGTTAGTAACAGACCATGGATATTATATACAAATATTTAGAGTGGAATGACAATAGAAAATGATACGTAGAGTAACATTCCACGGGAACCACAAGAAGGCGCCATTGCAGACACCAGTGCTTGTGTTAGTTCCACTTCTTGTCTTTGCATCTCTATGTTCTGAAGAAAATATTTTAAAACATTAAAACTAAATATGACTTTCCATAATTTTTAGATTTCAAAATCTAAATTTTAACAATTTAAAAATATTTTACCTCTGCACTCTTCCAACTCTTCATCAGAGTTCCAGAAATCATGGGCCTATCATGCGTGGATATGTATCTGTGTATCACACACGATGAATGTGTATTTTTCAGAAGGATAGAGGTTTATTTAACAATAGGGCATTTCTGGAGACTACTTTTTCATGCGTACTTTCTTTGTGGATTCTTATTTGTCCTGTCAAGTAAGTAAGCATATGATAGAATGATCATGCTCTGAGAGAGGGGGCCCCTGGTCCCTAGTGAATCATTTTTGTGACTCAATTATTGATGGGGCATTTCAGGTAAACAAATTTTATCTTCTGTGAGGCAATGTAATCTGCTTTAAATTATTTCTTGACCTCTTCATTTTCTCCCAATGATAGATAGTTAGACATCATTCTGTTGTATTACTCCACTGTGGCTAATCTTAATTAAACTTAATAGTGTGTCTTTGGCTGTACATCTGTCTTCAATTAGTTTGCTGTGTCTTTCTTCCCCCGGCCACTACGCTTGTACTTAAAAATGCAGAACTATCACTGTACCTACCACACGATGGCAGCGCTGTGCTCAAAATCCGCAGATCGGAATTGAAGACAACTTTACAATGTGGAACCATAGAAATTAAAAGCTGGTCAGGACTCCAGAGATAACCTGCTCCTGAGCCCTGTTTTCGCCTATAGAAAAACTAAGTCCTGGAAAGATTAAGTGACTTGTTTCAGTTTGCTCATTAATAAGGACAGAAAGAGAATCAAAACTAGAAAATCCTATCTACTTTTCTATCGCATCCAATTATGTCAGATAAAGTTTACGAGGTCTCTGCCTACCTCAAAATTCATGCTAGGAAAGTATAGAACCTTGCTGCCTGTGATATTCTGTCATTGGTTTTATATCCTTTGGTTCCACTCAAAACTACTGTCAAATATTTCAAGAATAACTTACATTGCAGGTAGCCTGCAATTTCCCAATCACTTGATTGATACAATTTTAATATTATACTCATAAGTACACTCTATAGGATTTAAGGTCAACTACTTGAAATTGAAAGAAATTGTTTAATAATTATTTTGTTTATTCCAATTGTTTAATGATAAAAATGA